ATGTATGAATTTGAGGAAAATGACTAGCCCGTAATGACAAAGGCTGTTTCCATGCAATGGTATTTCCATTTTTCATGTCTCGTGTTCTTATTGTTGACACGTGGCAATAATATTTGACACATCATGCTCATAACATATTTGAGATACTATCTCACCTCTTTGTTGGATTTTTGATACAGATCTCTGACCAAGACTATAACTAATTCGAATTTGGATATTGACGTGTCGGTGTTTTTTTAACCTTAGACAATTTTTTCAGTGGAAGGTAGTGGCCTTACCATGAATTAGGTAAAATTTCTTTTTGACGTTAAAATAGACGGATGATTTGAATTTTGACAGATTGCCTTGTTTGGTGGGATTTGCTTATAAATTGCTTGCTCCAATTACAGTACGATAGAAATGAGTGATGAATAGTAATTATGTGTATTGACTATTGAGAAATAATTATTTTTCACCCTTATCATTTCGACTTCTACATGAAACATGCTATAAACAATTAAGGGCATGTTTGTGATGGCTTATCTTAAACTCCAAAAGTATGGCTTATGTTGACTTATTTTGAATGTAGGTAGGTTCACGTTAAAAATAAGTCATATATTTGTTGCTTATTTTTAAGAAAAGTAAATTTTCCTTCTTAATTTATCTATTATTATTAATTTCATCAATTGTACCTTGAATACTCACAAAATAACAGTCTTGCTATGCGTACATAAAAATGCTGTCAGAATACACTTGGCAATTTTTTATTCGATAATGACAACAACAAAAAATGTTGGAAGAATGTATTTTGGAATAGTAGATTGATGGAGAATGTGTGATTGAAAATGAAGGAAAAATTATTGATATGATGAAAAATATTATTTTATTAAAAAATGTGTAATTGAAAATGAGTTGAATAATGAAAATGAAAATTTTAATAGAGAAATTATAATAATTCAGGTGTTTAAAGATTGGAATTCAAAATTCAGGGACCAAATTTTATTATTCAAAAATCAGGTGGTATAAAAGCTGTTTAACCCTAATTATTTCC